AGCCATGCTCAGAATAAGAGCCAACAATATTGGATGCACAGTTCTTAGTCGAAGCCACTTGAAAAGAGTCATCCAAAGCTCAGGAGAACACACACCAAACGCTGCCAACATGCACACGTAAGGAGTCCAAATATACTTCAATCCTTCTAAAACCATTGCAAGAGAACCCAATAAAATAGTGTGAATTATATGATAAATTATTTCTGGCCTTTCTCCAATTCGTCCATCTTCAATAGCAACAGTTTCTTTCAGGGACTTTCCATTAAGCCTCCTAAAAATAACTTGCATCATAGAAAGAAGACAAATAATTAACACTAGAATATAGAATGGTAATAAAGAAGATTGTGTCAATCGCAAAAAAAAATCTTGGGACGGTGTCTGGAGGGATTCTTGACAGAGGAGCCAATTCACTGTAAAATTCTTAGTCATATTTAACCCAAATTTTACTTCAAGGAATTCGAGCATGTGCTCACTTTCTGTGTGTGGAACAAACATCTTTATTATCATATTCAGTGTCACTGGCAGAGTACATTCCAGGTAAAAATTAATCACTTTCTTGATTTTAGCTACAAAAGTTCCTTTCTTCACATTCAGCTGAAGGCACTTAGTAAGCATTAAGGCTGATACAAAACTTAATAAAGGAGACACTAATAAAGCTGGATTTTCAAACTGTAGCAAATATCCCAGAAACAGAGAAAATATGTAGATTTTATATACCTCATGGATCTTGTCACCTTGTTCCACTGTAAAGATATCTAACAGGAACAGAGATACTGCTTGAAGAAACAAAAGATAGTGGCTATACTCACACATCATCATAAAGGTGTAAGTTGAAGCACTCATCAACAGATAGCAAAACCTCTCTGCATAAGTATTTAAATTGCTTTTTAAATGGCCTGTAAGTGCAGCAACTTGGCATGCAAAATATGGCAGTGCCCAGTTTTCTCTTAAGGGGATGGAGTATTCAATTCTTGTTGTATCTACCCTGTTAATGATAAACCATGCAACGGTAAGCATTCCTGCTAGCCATGTTCCACTCATAAGCCAACTTGTAACAAACAATGCAGTAACATATATTCCTTGCAATCCAAAAACAATGCCAATATAGAAATACATAGGCTCAATAATCTCCTCTCTCAAATGAAGGTGCCTTTAACATATCTTTATAAAAGGAGTAATAAACAGCACTGTCACCCTGAAATGTGATTTCCCGTTCAAATTCCTGCCTGTTGGAAAACCAGAACTTCCGTTCATGGTATGCAGATAAGTACAGTGCATACATCATACCACTAGTAACTGCAGCAAGACAGCCAATGAAAATCTTTGCAAAGCGCTGAAATAATACATATTTTGGAGTTCTTTCAGGAACTGAAGTATCACTAACTTTCGCTTCTTTGGCAGAGTCCTTATTTTCTGGAGACTTTGGCTTTTTTCTTTGGCGTAATTCTACAGTTGGTCCTTCTTCCTCCGCCATCGTCTCCACGCCGCCGCCGGGGTCGGGCCTGAGGCTCCAACACGTCCCGGAGATGGCGTCCCCTCGCGTCGCCGAAGCCCTCGGCCGCCCCGGGCCCGCTGCCGGCCCCGCTCCCACTATGTCAATATTGAACATATACAGACTTTAAGGAGGAGGGGAAGTGCTGGGAATTTGCATACAACTGCATCCCCAGCCCTTTTTTTATTTTTTGTTTTAAGATAAGCTTTCACTAAGTTGTTAAATTGCCCAGGCTAAGCTTAAACTTGTGATACTCCTACCTCAGCCTCTTGCAGTGTTGATTACAGATGTATACTACTGGGGGGCCTGGCCTTAGCTCAGTTGTTTAAATGGCTGCTTCCACAAAGCTGTCAGCCTCAGGTTGCTGTAGTTCGATCCCCACAACACTCCAGCCAGCCAAACCACCCCTGAGGGCATTCAGATCAGATGTATACTACCATGCCAGAGTCAGACTTTTCCTTGTCATTATTTCGTCAACAGTATAGGCCACATACGGTGGCACATGCCTATAATCCCAGCATTTGAGAGGCTGAGGCAGGAGGACTGCTCAGGTTTGAGGCCAGCTTGGGATACATAGTAACTTCAAGGCCAGCTTGAACTGTATGAAACCCCGTCTCTGAAAAACAGATTCAAATGCTGAAGCTCTGAGGAGATCTTTCTCCTACAAGAGAGCTGAGATTTCCACTCAGAACTAAACGACTCCAGAGCCCACACACATCAGATAAACAAAAGCGCACTGTGCCAGCAAGGGATGGCGGAGGATACATGGCCCTCAGAGCTGTGAGCAGCGTCTTCAGTAGCCAAGGTGTTGAGTGGAACAAAAGCTGCCCAGACACATTCTCCTTATAAAGCCCAAAGGTTCTCTGCCTTTGATCAGAAGGTACCAGACACCAACAGTCAGGGTTTTTATGATTCCTTTGTCCCTGGGGCTTGTCCAAATGGGGACGGTGGGACCCTATCTATGTCAACGTTCTCCTCTTTTGCTCCCTGACTAGGAAGTGAATGATTCTGCTCCCTGCACGCTCCTGCCAAGATGTCCTGCCTCTCCTCCACTTCCGTTTTTCCTCTTCCAGCATTCCCTTGTACACGCTGCCTGCCATCAGGGAGGGAAACTGGATGTGGTGGACACATTATCTCCTGCCACCAATCATTGGGGCACTTTTATGAAGACCTTTGAAGGCCCAAAGTGGGAGTCTGCGGTGAATTTTGATGTTCTTATATAGAATAGATTTATAAAGTGGTATCATTATTCTTGTTTCTCAGGAAAAAAAATAGGGGAAATAAACTTGGAATAGATGTTGTGGCATCTGCCAGAATACATGGCACAGCTTAGATTTATTGGCTAATCTAGGAGCCCTATTGTGCTATCTTTAATGCATCTGATTTAGACCAGCTGGCTTCATTAGCAACCCAGTTTTCATCAGTTCTTTCAGGAGAAACCATCTAGGGAATTAAAAAATTTACTACTGCCCTTGCTTTAATTAAATAGCATCTCTGGAGAGGACAGCCTGGTATTGAGTAAATTCCGCCTCCTTTTGCCTTTTCATGATTCTAAATGAAGCCAGAAGTGAGAACCAGTAGGAAAAAAATCTCACACATCTTCCAGAGGTTGAACTCAAGAGCAGGGGGAGAATGGGAAGATAATTAAAAGGAAGACAGGTAAAGTGCTTTGTCAGGCCTGAACTGGAAAGACCTTCCCAGTAAACACAGTGCCCTGTACGGACAACAGGAATCCAGGCTGCCCTCAGCAAACAGAACTAATGGCTGAAAAGAAATTCAGAACTGGACCTGCAGTCTCATGATGACATGCAACCCAGCTTTTGAGTCACACCTCTGCTGATCGTCCTTGTAGCTTTGACCTCAAGCATTCCATCCAGATTCCTTGGGACTGCGACCTCCAACACCAAACCCTACATATACTTATCCTCTCCTCCAGATAGACATTAGTATCAGTCCAACTACAGCCTGCCTGTACCTAGATGACATTAAATCTCACCTTTCCCAGTCTTGGTGTCCATGCGTTTCCTCACATGTCGTTATTTAACATCCTTTTGCTCTTGGAAGGGAACAACAGGAGCGGTACCCTTCCATGCTGTTCTGATGGTAGAGAAGACCCACTGCCTGAATGGTTGTGCCCTCAGTGTCACCATGGCCTGATGGAGAGGCCCAGCCACAGCCACTCTGCAGGGCACTTATGAGGCCCCACTGGGTGTCACAGCTGTACCACAGAGCGAAGCTGAGGTCCACTCAAGCTACAATCAACCAAAATCACAAGGAGAATGGGTGCAGAATAATGTGATTATGAAGAAATGAAAAATAATGGAATTTGGGGTGAATTTGGTTCTTGCCCTTACACATCAGAGCCCCTCCCTTACTGGCCTGTCTTTGTTCAAATGTCACCTTGCATTTAAAGCTTTCCCGGATCACTTGCCTGAAGTCACATACCTGCTCCCTGAGCCTCATGCTCCCTTGCCTATTGTATATGCATGTAGTAACACCTTTGCTGGAATATAATTCACATATCACACCATCTGCCCCTTGAAGTAGATACATTTCAGTGATTTTCAGCACATTCGTGGGGTTGTACAACCATCCACATGAAGTGTTATCAGTTTATCTTTCCCCAAAGAATCTCTGTAGCTTTTAGCTATCAAAGGCCATTTGTCCCTCCCAGTCCTAGGTTACCACTTCTCAACTTTTTGCCTATTCTAGCCCCTCCATATAAATGGATTCCTACATGAAATGGACTTTTTGATTAACTGCTTTTCAGTTAGCATATGTTTTCAAGGTCTATCTACATTGTAACATACATCAGTGCTTCATTCCTTTTGTTGCATGCTATTCCCTTGTATGGGTAGGCCTAATTTCCTTTCTCCCTTCGTCCAGTGGTATTTTTGTTACTTCTACTTTAGGAGTCGTCCCTATTTACTTACTTTATCCAGTACACACACACACACACACACACACACACACACACACAGTGTGACTCCACGAAGTGTTTGCTGCCATATCCCCAGGGTATGGACTGACAATAAGTAGGTGCTCAATAAATAACCCTCAAATGGGGGTGTGCCAGGTATATATAAATAACTCAATAAACATGTAGTTTGAGGTAGAAGATGAGTATTCATTAGTCAATTGGAAGAACTTCCACACAAGCTGCATAGGATTAATTCCAGCAGCTAAGAGACCTGACAGGACCCCGAGGGGTTATGGATTTGAATGACAGTGACTTGGTGATACAACCTTTGAAAGTGCTCCAAAGTGAGCACACTAGTTAAAGGAACTCCTTTGGGAATCATCCTGTAAAATGAGAAACACATTAGTGGTGTAAACTTCATGCAGATTATGTTGCAGAAGGCTGGGTGTTCCAGCTGCCTCCTACTCAGCAGATATTTATGAGCATTGTGTGTACAAAGCTCTGGACCACATCTCAGGGCCCGAGTAATGGAAGGAAGCAGGGACCACCCACCAGCCTCGGGGCCCCCTGAGTTACAGGTGGGAGAACTGAAGGCCAGACAAGTCACTAGGGGAGGTAGGAGGCCCCAGGCCTAGGCCTGCCCTGGCTCGGTCCCCACAGCCCTGAAGCACTGCTTTCAAAGGTAGCAGCTGGACTGTAATAGCCAAGTAACATTTTGTAATTCAGCAAGGGACTGGGTCAGATCGTGTCCCTGCCTCCTATTTCTGCCTTTGGTCCTAGGGAATTAAATAATTTGGCCTCCTCCTCAGACTCCAGCACACAGGATTTGCTTCCTCTGGCAGAGCCTAGCTTAATTCATAATGCAAGCGTATGCTGCCCCCTTCTGGTCATTATGGAAATCCATCCTGGTTCACCAGCAAAGACACTCATCTCAAGACACACTCCCCATCACTTAACTTGAGGGATCATTCCCACAATACTGGGCGAAGACAAGAGTTGGGATTTCTATTCTCACTTAAAAAAAAAAATGGCATCATCAGGTGTGGTGGCTCACGCCTATACACAGCACTCTGACAGGTGAGGGTGGGAGGATCACAAGTTTGAGCCTCAGCCGGGCCACCAGGGTACTTAGTGGGGCTGCGGAAGTAGTAGCTCAGGGTGAAAGCCTTATGTTCAGGGCCTAGTATTGCAATAAGTTAATGGCAGCATCCTGGAAATGGTCCCCAGTCCACCCAATTCCTTCTATGACTCTGGCTAGTCAGTTTCCCGCTCCTGGTCTCAGTTACCCACCTATAAAACGGGAGGCTCTTCACGAGACAGTACTGTGCATAGCCCTGTACTCTTAAGAATGAAGAGATAAATGTATCTGAAAAACATTAAAAAAAAAAAAAAAAAAAAAGAGTGGAGAGGTGGCTTGCCCAAGATCAAAGTGAACCAGAGCAGAGGCACTCCCATGCTGCAGGTCACCCCTCTTGCTCACACCAATCAGGAAAAACCAGAGGAGTCGCAGCAAGCCACAAAACTTCCTCCACCTTTGTATTCTGATTGTCTATTGAGGAACCAGATGGATGGATGAATAGGTAGGTAAGCGGATGGATGGATGGATAGATGGACGGATGGATGGATAGCAGGAATTAGGGTGGCTACTTGCCTCCCCTTGCTCCCTGACAACTTGCTCCTCTAATTCCAACTGCCAAGCCCCAATGGCAGGCTGCTCTGGATCCACTGAGCCCGAGTAATGGACCTATTGTCTACCTGCAGCTGGGCACTAAGACCAATCACAAATACAGTAGATCCTTACCCTGGGCTTCTTTCCACCCTGTTATTTACTGCTGTGCTCAACAGCTGTTGCTATGGGTAGAAAGTCTTCAAACTTCACATATGGGCACCCCTCCCAGGGAAGTTCTTTAGGCCAGCCACGGCTGAAATTAAGCTCTATGCTCACAATGAAGCTCGGGAGTACTAGAGGAACTGCAGCCATGGAAGATTACCCTGCGCATCTCCAGCCTGGTTCATATAAGCAAATTAACTTTTCTGTTCTTTGGTCTTCTTATGCATAAGAGAGTCTGGTGCCTCACAAGTATTATGAGAAATGAAGACCATAGGTGCTCAGAAAATAGAAGTTTCCTTTCTCTCCTTCCCTGATCATGAAAAGATCTGGAAAGGGAAAGAACAAAGTCTACTGTGCACCAGGAAAGTTTTTTCAGATCAAAAAGATTATTTTCAAGTACTCCAAAGTGAAGTGAACCAAGTATGTGTCCAGCAGGAAACTGAAGGTGGACTCAAACATTATTGATCTCTTTAGGAGAAAGTACCATTTACCAATCCCGTCTTCATCCTAGAGCTTTCTGACACCAAGGATATTCAGCAGAGATTTCCTGATAGTGATGCTGAGAACATATTTTAACAGCTAAGTACAGTAATCCTATGTTCTTCCAATTAGGGGAGCATCTCCCTTGGCTACATCTCCATAACCTGGCCTAACCTTCCTTACCAGCCTATCCATTCTGTACTTGGTGGCAAGTTCTCCAGTCACCTGGCAGAAAGGACACTTGGATTTCAGCTAAACAGATGCTGAACAGTTGAGCTTGTACAACTGAGATTAAAACTGAGCCCCCCCCCCCAGTACCACCTGTGAAATCATGGAGCTGAGAACAGATCAAGGATTGGACCACTGCTGCAGGCGCTAGGTCCTGCACTTCTACCTGTAATGACAAAGACAGAGTCCTAACATGTGGGATAGGAGATGGGCCTCAGTGTGAGACACACTCGGGTTTGTCTTTCTCACTAACCATCCAACTCTCTGTTTCTCACTCCTAAAATGGGGCTAACAGAATTATCTTTCTTAGCCAGGCATGATGGTACATGCCCTTCAGTACTCTCAGCACTTGGGAGGCTGAGGCAGGAGGGTCACTATGAGTTTGAGGCCAGCCTGGACTGCATAAGAGTTAAAGCCTAGCCTAAAGTATATACTGTTTTTGTGTAAACAAAAGACTAGGAAAAGGGAAGCTATCTGCCTTCCACTAGGAAGAATGAGGGGAAAGGGAGATGTAAGGAGAAAGAAGATGGAAGAGGGGAGGAGGGGAGGGAAGGAGAGGGGAGAAGGAACATGGGCACTGTCACAGGTCAATTTGCGTTGATCACAGAGGTTGGCTTCACTCAACCTCTTCCACTCAAGCACCAGTGGGACTATCAGAACCTTTTTTACAGAAATATAGGAAAAGGGAAAAGAATATGATAATTGCTGAGGGTGTGTTCCCGCTCTCTGTTGTACTGATTTATTGGTCAATGATGGTGTGAGCTGGCTCACTTCTAGCTATCCCCTGGTCTAACTGATGTTATTATGGCCCTGGGACAGATCATGACTAGGGTGTCTGCTTGTCCTTAGAAGCTTGCAATTTCAAATGGATTTCATATGCCCTCAAGCTATCCAAGTATGGCTGGATTTTCATGGATTCCTGCCTCCAGTGCCCCATCTTTCTCAGCTGGTCTGCTATGAACTTTTTTTTCAGATGTTCGTACCACTGGATTGTCTTTTTCCTGGCCTTCTCCAAAGCTTTCTCCTTGAAAAGAAAAGAAAAAAGAAAAGCAATAGAGATAAGGTTAGGATTATGAAGCTACCTTCCAGCAAAAGAAACACCAAAGGTGAAAAATGTGCCTTCCGGACCCAATATTCATTCCCTAAGTACAGTACTATGATTCATAAGGAGCCTCAGTTTCCTAATTTATAGAAAGTGGGCATTAAGCTAGAAAACCCCGATGGTACATTCTGAGAGTCTGCAGCTGAGGATTCTGATTTTGACTGTAATCATATTTCTACTGGAAAACGGATGAGAAAGTGATAGGGCATCTGTGGGAGAGTGCATCTTGTTTATTCCTCCTCTGTCCCTGTCAACCACTTAGTGTTTCCACATATGGTCTGTGACATTCCTCATATCGCAATGATCATTTCTTCTCCTATATAACTTTTGTCTTCTCCCTACCAGGGAACAGGCCTGGGAAGTCACAGCCTATATCTGCCTCATTCAGTTATTTTCAGTGCACTAGCTAAAGGAAGGGATACTAAGAAAAATCAGCTACAGGGCCGGCCAGATAGCTTAGCGGATTAAAGTGCCTGCACATGCAGAACGCAGGGACCAGGGTTCGATCCCCAGAGTGGCATGCTGGCCCCTGCTGGCCCCACCCCTGGGGTGCACTGAGACAGCAAATGAGACTGGGCATGGAGGCGCTTGGGAGACTGAAAACAGGAGGAGCACTACGAGTCCAATGTACGTAGTGAGACCCTGTAGACCCTGTACTAACTACATAAAAAAAGAAAAATCAGTCACAGTTATTCCTAGTTCCTACTGTGTAGGAAAGAAGACATGCTCAAATATGTCTAAACCAGGCAAAAGTGATACAATGTAAGAGAAGCATACTTCAAAGAAGGCAGATACGTAGAAAAGCTCCATAGAGCTGAGCATGTTGCTCAGTGGCAGAGCCCTTGTCTCACATGCACAAGGCCCACAATATGATTTCTAATATTAAAAACAAGCAGCTATATGGAAGGGGTTGACATATAAATTGTGTTCTGAGTTTTGAAGGATGGAGAGGCTTACGGCATCTGATATCGAATCCAAATCTGGCCTTTTTTTTTTTTTTTTTT